AGGAAGGAAGGAAGGAAGGAAGGAAGGAAGGAAGGGAAGAAGAATTCTCATCTGACATAGTAATATAACTGACCATCTCAAGGAGTCTCAAAGGCCTCAAATCAAGGCAACAGACAAGGACACAATCATTTGATGTGTAATGACAGGGCTGTGTTTTAAGAAATACTGAATAGCCTGTCAGTCCTCGACTACAAACCTGTATAGCATGCCATGGTACTGAACTGTATGCAGTTGTAAAACAATATTCTTAGCATATCTAACCACAGAGAAGGACTAGTAAAAAGAGGACAGAGAGAAGTGGTGCTCATAGTGGTAGAGCACTAGCCTTGGGCATAAAGAGGCTCAGGGATAGTGCAAAGGCCCTGAATTCAAGCCCCACAACTGACACACACACTAAAAAGAATAGCTAAAAGAAGACAGAGAGATCAAAGTAGCTCCTGTCCTGGGCACTTGCTATGAGTGGAGCTTACTAAATGGGACACTACCAAGTGATAGGCAAAATGGAAGCTAAGGACTGTGCACTATTGGAGGCTTTATTAATACTGTACATAGTTACACTACATTTGTGAAAAAATATTCTTTCTGTAATAAATTAATTTTTAGCTTACTTTAAAATTTTTATTTTATAAATTTTAATTTTTAACTTTTGGCTCTTCCGGGGCTTGAACACAGGGCCTCTCTTGGCTTTGTAGTTCACAGCTAGAGCTTTACCACTTGAGCTATTCCTTTACTTACAGCTTTTTGCTGATTAATTGGAGATAAGAGTGTCTCTGATTTGTCTGCCCAGGCTGGCTTTGAATTGCAATTCTTAGATCTCAGCCTCCTAAAAGCTAAGATTACAAATGTGAGCCACTAGTGCTCAGCTAAATATTTGACTCTTACAAGAACTTTCCTTATACAAACACATTGAACAATATACAAAACACTTGCTTTTCTGTATCTATTCTGTAAGCTTTTCTCCATTTAAATGTTTTATAATTTTATTTACTTCATTTTTGCTTTTCAGATATTTCTTGTTTAAAATGATGCCTACATAAGCTCGTGTATTGATTTTGCCAGTTATCATCACCTCCATATGGTGATGTACTTACTGCCAGGTTTCCTGGGGGATAATTTTCATGGAGCCACTATCTTTGTGGTCACAAGACCTTCTTTAAGATGACCTCCTGAAGCAGGCTGAGGCTCTACTACAGTTTCCTTTTAATTTCTATCCATATATCTTTAGATATGTGTGTACATGTACACATATATGGAATTCATTAAAAAATAATAATAAAAAATATGATTAAGGTAAGACAGCCAGTGGCTCATTCCTGTAATCTTAGCTACTCAGGAGGCTGAGATCTGAAGATTGTGGTTCAAAGCCAGCCTAGGCAGGAAAATCCATGAGACTCTTATTTCCAATTAACCAACAAAAACCAGGAAGTAGAGCTTGTAGCTCAAGTGGTAGAGCACTAGCCTTGGGCACAAAAACTCAGGGGCAGCACCCAAGCCCTGAGTTCATGCCCCAGGACTCACACACACACACACACACACACACACACACACACACGTGCTTGAGTGTGCATGGTAATCTGAATAATAGAGTCATTCATTATCATCAAGTAATACACAGTGTACATACTGTGCATTCAATGCTTTCATAGACTAGCAGCCTCATCACAGCCATGGGAATGATGCACTGGGCAAATGTTACCATGGCTTTGACATCAAAGGGGACAGGAACTTTCCAGCTACACTATAATCCTGGGACCACTGGACTCATAATTGTGGTTGGTCACTGACAAAATGTCATGTATATGATTTATATTACCGTTTGGTATTAATATAAAAGAAGAAATTGAAATACTTATGGTTAAAAACAGTTTTATGACTTCAGTTTAAGTAAAATTTGTCCTGCATTGTGGTTTTAGGTAAATATTTTATGAGTGGTATTTCAGGTAGTAAGTGTTAAAAAAGCAATTTTCAGGGAATGTGTGGGTTCTTGTATATGTGTGTATATAGAGATACAAGTATTTTTATGCAGGTTTGACCAAATTAAAAACCTAGACTCTGAGCATTTTACCATTTTCTCTTAGCCATAGATTATCTTTGACATTTGACTCTAATATATCCTGGCTTTCCTGTTTCCTGAAAAACACAGAACTCAAACAAGGAGAAACTTGTGAGGGGGAGCTATTGTTTGTAAAGGGCCTTGAGAGCACTGCCTGGAATATGTTTTACAAATAAGAGATATTACTTCTAATCTTTTGCCAGGAAGGAAAAGAAACAAGGTTAATCTTCAGATTCATTTAAAAGTTAAAGAGAACATGGAAATAGCCAGACAATCCCATAGTTCCTTAGAGCATGAGATGGAGGAGCTGGGCTCTGCCCCCAGCTGAATGCTGCAGGCTAAGCCACCTTACATCCTGTGTGTGTAATTCCTTACCAGGGCCCCAACCAGCATTTGGCAAAGGTTCATGCAGGAGAAATTGGGTTGCTCCTCATCTAGGGCATCTCAGGAAGAAAAATTGAATCTGTAAGCTGATTATGGAAGGACACCAAGGTTTTAAGATATGTCTCTCTCAGGGCTGGGAAGGTGGCTCAGTGGTAGAGTGCTTGCCTTGCATGCCTGAGGCCCTGGGTTCAATTCCTCAGCACCACATAGGCAAAAAGAAAAAAGCCAGAAGTGGTGTTGTGGCTCAAGTGCTAGAGCACTAGCCTTGAGCTAAAGAGCTGAGGGACAGCGCCCAGGCCCAGAGTTCAGGCCTCACGACCGGACCCCAAAAGAAAAGAAAAGAAATGTCTCTCTTAACACTAGAAATTGAGGGTAAACGCTGAATCCTAGTGACTTTCTAAGTTGTACATCTAGCAAGCTATAATACAGATGTGAAACTCAGGATTTTCTAATTCTAATTCAATGTGTTTTCATTTGGGGGACCACCAAATGAGCAGCATTAACCAAAAGTCCTACCTTGTTAGGATTATAGGCATGAGCCACTTGTGCTCCAATTAACAACCAAAAAGCCAGAAGTGGAGCTATGCCTCAAGTGGTACAGTGCTAGCCTTGAGCTCAGGAATGCAGCCTTATTACACTGTAGATCTTGTTACTTCCTCTTCAAGGATCAAATACATTTCTCATCCATCCATTTACCTTTTATTTCTGCCCCAGGGCCCACTGACCACCACTCTGACTTACATGGCATTTTTCAGAATTTCCTTCCCCCTCTGTGCTCTTCTGTACCATACATCCAAACTAGCTCCTCAGGACAGTCATTACCAGGTGTTGGTGTCATTAGTTAGCCTACTTATCTGAGTTGCAAGCTAGGGATATAGAGCATCAAGGACAATCATGGTCCTCAGTGCTAATTGAACTTGGCATATTTGGTAAATCACCCGTGTCTTTTCTTTGGGAACAACTGTTAATCATGCTGCAGCAGGTGAGGAAAGAAAAGTCTTTCTGACTTATTGTAAAAAGTAACTTTAATTTTTAATCTTTCAGAAATTCCTCATGAGCCTTGTCCCAGTTCCCTAAATTTTTATGAGTTTGCTGTGATCTGCAACGAAGCAGAAACTTAGAATCTTCATCATCATCACCCTTTTCTCAGGGCTACTGACCCTAAAAGGGAGAGAAGTGGATCCAAGAAACAGTCAATTTTGTTTCCAGCAATCTTTATGCCCCAAGTAGAAGACTATAGGTTGGGATCAGCTTTGCTCAGTAATGCCACTTTTTAAAAGATGGCCTAGAGTGTAAGTCATTCTTTCAAGCAAAGTCATTCTTTTCATTGTTCCATTCATATCTCACAAATATTATCTAAGACAATATCTCATATGAGGGTCATCATTTTTTAGGAATTGTATTTCAGCATTTTATAACCTGGTGAAGTTTTAAATTTGCTGATTCCTGATATTTTTAATGACAATGTAGCATCACTGGGTTCCAAGAAACTTCATACTAGGCATAGCCTTTTAACATTTAGAAACACACTTAACACTACCCTGAACAGTTTTATTCAACTATTCTGTGAGGGCCAGCAGAATGGGAGAATTTAACTTTGGGATCAGGTTTCATGAAATTCTGGATCCAAGATCTATTTCTGCTGTAACTTTGCCTTAATAATCTAAACAATTAATGATCAGATTTCTTAATCTGTATCCATCATTCCCTAGAAAATATTACAAGAGGTCTTTCCTTATGTAAAAAGTATAAGCTTATGGAAGCCAATAATATTAGGGATAAGTTTAACACATTGAGAACTTACAAAATAAAATTAGATTGAACTGTTATACTAAATTCTTTTATCTCTGTCCACTGGGTAAAAGTTACAATGGCATCATGAATAGTCAGAAGGTACTAAATGTTTCATATTAATATATTGAATGAATGTTAGGCTAAGAGTCTTGGTGATACTCAAGGACATAAACTGAGTATGTACTTATTATCAAAAATTAAAATCTTGATGAGCCAACACTGGCTTGCATTTTGCATAGCTTTCCTTCTCTTCCTCCTTTTCCTCTTCCTCCTCCTTCTCCTTCTCTTCCTTCTCATTCTTCTTCTTCTTCTTTGACAGGGTCTTACTAAGTATCCTAGGGTGGCTTTGAACTCATGATACTCCTGCCTCAAATTCCTAAGTACTGGATTAAAGGTGTGTGTCACCATGCTAGGCTATTGCCTTTCTTTTGTTTGCTTCTTAAGAAAACTAGGCCAAAAAGATAAATTATAATTTTTCATCCTCTGAATCTCTTCACTGAGTGCTTGATGTGGAGACTCCAAGTCCTCCTATTTGGGAGACACAAAATAGGCTAGATGTTGGACCTGGGCAAAGTCAGAGACCAAGTTGGCTCAAATCTTGTCCTGATAAATGCACTGAATTCCAGGTATGGTTACAAAGTCTAACCTTGGTTAATTTCCCTTTGTTAATAAAATTATAAATTAGTAAGTTAACAGACAAATGAAGATCACAACATCTAATGCACTGAATTTTCCAGAATAAAAATTATAATCTACTCATTTTATTCAGGAATGGACAGACCACAAACTACGCTGGAATCCTGATGAGTATGGTGGCATTCATTCAATTAAAGTTCCCTCAGAATCTCTCTGGCTTCCTGACATAGTTCTCTTTGAAAAGTAAGTATCACAGAAAATAGTTATATTAGTCAGATTAACAGTGATCATAGTTATATTAGTTAAATAATTAGGAGAAATATACACCTGTAAGTAGCAAAATAGTTGACATTGTGGTAGGAAAGTAATACAATACAAATAGTACAGAGATGGGAGAAAATCCCAAGCAAATAAACATTCAACTAATTACTGAAGTGAAATTCCTTTTATGGCAGTGCCGATGGACGTTTCGAGGGCTCCCTCATGACCAAGGTCATTGTGAGATCCAATGGAAGTGTCACTTGGACTCCTCCTGCCAGTTACAAAAGTTCATGCACCATGGATGTTACATTTTTCCCCTTTGACCAACAGAACTGCTCTATGAAGTTTGGATCCTGGACTTATGATGGTACTATGGTCGACCTCATTTTGATAAATGAAAATGTTGACAGGAAAGACTTCTTTGACAATGGAGAATGGGAAATACTAAATGCAAAAGGGATGAAAGGAAACAGAAGAGAAGGTTTATATTCTTATCCATTTATTACCTATTCTTTTGTCCTGAGACGCCTGCCTTTATTTTATACACTTTTCCTGATAATCCCCTGCCTGGGGCTATCTTTTCTCACAGTTCTTGTGTTCTATTTACCTTCAGATGAAGGAGAAAAACTTTCCTTATCAACGTCTGTGTTGGTATCTCTGACCGTTTTTCTTTTAGTAATTGAAGAAATAATCCCATCTTCTTCAAAAGTCATCCCTCTCATTGGAGAATACCTATTGTTTATTATGATTTTCGTCACTCTGTCAATCATTGTTACCGTTTTTGTAATTAATGTTCACCACAGATCATCTTCCACCTATCATCCCATGGCCCCCTGGGTGAAGAAGCTGTTTCTACAAAAACTTCCTAAATTGCTTTGCATGAAGGATCATGTAGATCGCTACTCTTTCCCAGATAAAGAGGAGAGTCGAACAGTAGTGAAAGGTAAAGTCTTGGGCAAAAAGAAACATAAGCAGATTAGTGATGGAGAAAAGGTTCTGATCACTTTCTTGGAAAAAGCTGCAGAGTCTATCAGATATATTTCAAGACACGTGAGAAAGGAACATTTCATCAGCCAGGTCAGTGAACTACTATTTGTGATCACACTGCCATTGAATTATGGAAAGGCTATTCTTTTGGTACTTATTTTTACAACAAAATGCAGCCATTGGCTAAGCTATGATGTTAATGCTACTTGTCATTTCTTTTTTTGGGGGGGTGGGGTGGGGGCTTCTAGAATTTGAACTCATAGCCATGTACTTGCTAGGTAAGTGCTCTGCCACTTGAGCCAGGACTAGGGCCTATTTTCCTTTATTTTACAGAGAGTCTTGCTTTTATTTTTTTTTTTAAATCAAGATCTGGCTGTCACAACACTCTTTTTTTATTGTGAGAATATTGTACAGAGGAGTTACAATTACATGGGCAAGATAACCAGTACATTTCTTATCCAGCATTGCTGCCTCCTCTTTGTTTCCCCTTCCCATCCCTTCCCATACTCCCCCTGTAACTCTAGCTTCTCAGGAGGCTGAGATCTGATGACTGTGATTTAAAGCCAAACCAGACAAGAAAGTCCATAGTCTCTTGTCTCTAATTAACCAATAAAAAGCCAGTAGTGAAGCTGTGGCTCAAGTGGTAGTGTGCTAGCCTTGAGCCAAAAAGCTCAAGGATCTAGCCCCTGAGTTCAAGCTTTAGGACTGGAAATAATAAAAAAATAAATATATGTCCAGCATGTGTGATTAAAATAAGTTACATAAAAAGCTTGGCACTGGGACTGGGGATATAGTTTAGTGGTAGAGTGCTTGCCTGGTCTAGTGTGCATGAAGCCCTGGGTTTGATTCCTCAGTACCACATCAACAGGAAAAGCTGGAAGTGGCACTGTGGCTCAAGTGGTAGAGCACTAGCCTTGAGCAAAAGAGCTCAGGGACAGCGTCTAGCCCCCGAGTTCAAGCCCCAGGACTGGCAAAAAAAAAAGAAAGAAAAAAGAAACAAAAGCTTGGCTTGAGTGAGCTCAGCCTGTAATCCTAGTTATTCAGGAGGCTGAGATCTGAGGATTTTAGTTCAAAGCCAACCTGGGCAGGAAATCTGTGAGACTCATAATATCCAATTAACCAACAAAAAGCCAGAAGTAGAGCTGTGGCTCAGGTAATAGAGCATGAATCTTGAGTGATAATGCTAAGGAACAGTGCCCAGACCCTGAGTTCAAGCCCCTGTAACAGCACAAAAAGAAAACAAAATCAACAAAACCCAAGTCATATTATTATAACATTTAAAGGGACCAATTATTTTATTCTAAATTAGTTAAAATTAGTGCCAAAAGCTTGATAGGCAAGCATTTTAAAAAAGCCCATGGACAAGCATACAAAAGAAATTTTTGTAATTTCACTCCACATTTGTGTGTGTGTGTGTGTGTGTGTGTGTGTGTGTGTGTGTGTGTGTGTATGTGTGTGTGTGTGTGTGTGTGTGTATGTGTATGTATCCATACTAGGGTTTAAATTCAGGGCCTCACATTCTTGTTTGGCTTTTTCTACTTGAGTCTGGCACTCTGCCACTTGAACCACATCTCTGCTTATTGATTTTTGCTGGTCAATTAATTGGAAATCAAAGTTTCTTAGGTATCTTCATAAGTTGGTTTTGAATCTCTTCTATCTTTAGATCTCAGCCTCTTGAGTAGCTAGGATTACAGTCACTAGGGCCAAACTTCCTTCAACAGTTTATCTTTCCTATAGTGACGTACCCTAATATACCCTCCTCTTAACTATGTGCCAAGCTTTTCACCCACTTAAGGGGGTTTTGTGTTGTTTTAAAAATGAGTACTGTTATTGAAGGAACATATCAGCTATAAAGCAGGGGTTAGTTTTTGTTTGTTTGGTTTTTTGCATCTTTTAAAAATGCTACCACAAGTTGAAGTCATCTCTTTTAATTGTGAAAAGAACAGATGATCAGCCTAGGACACTTCAGAAAGATGTAGACAAAAGGATTAAAAATAGTCAATAATCCAATTTCTTGAGATTGACTTTAAAGTGTGTGTTTTCCTCTTTGCTTTCTGAAAGCTCTTTGTAAGCTCAGAACACACCCTGTCTACCCTCCCTCCCCTCTCTGGGACAGGCCCTCTAATCTAGTGCACTTTTACAAAACCCCCATCTATACTAATGCTCCTCCACAAATGATGAAACCAATTGTACATTAAAAATATCATCAGTAGGGGCTGGGAAGGTGGCTCAGTGGTAGAGTGCTTGCCTTGCATGCATGAGGCCCTGAGTTCGATTCCTCAGCACCACATAAGCAAAAGAAAAAAGCTGGAAGTGGCGCTGTGGCTCAAGTGGTAGAGTGCTAGCCTTGAGCTGAAGAGCTGAGGGACAGCGCCCAGGCCCAGAGATCAGGCCCCACGACTGGACCCAATATATATATATATATATATATATCATATATATATATGATATATATGATATATATATGATATATATATATATCATCAATCAAAAACATGTTGAGTACACACCACTGAACACCAGAACCAAGCTCCAAAGCAGACTCGTGCTGTTTGTGGTCCCTTGTGACCTTTCTGAGACTAATGAAGAGCTTTGGCTTTGGAATAGATGCAGCTCTCAAATGCAAAGGATAGTTTCTACTGAATGGATTTCATTTGTGTACCATTGTAAGTGGAAAAATCACTTGGAACCATTGCAAGTTGAAGACCCTCTGTAGTAGAAATGGGACATTAATCTTCCCTTTAAAAGACAAGACTATTAGGCACTGGTAGCTCATGTCTATAATCCTAACTACTCAGGAGGCTGAGATCTGAGGATCATGGTTCAAAGCCAGCCCTGGCAGGAAAGTCTGTGAAACTTTTATCTCTAAATAACCATCAAAAAGTTAAAAGTGGGACTGGGAAGGTGGCTCAGTGGTAGAGTGCTTGCCTTGCATGCATGAGGCCCTGGGTTCAACTCCTCAGCACCACATAAGCAAAAAGAAAAAAGCTGGAAGTGGGGCTGTGGCTCAAGTGGTAGAGCGCTAGCCTTGAGCTGAAGAGCTGAGGGACAGCACCCAGGCCCAGAGTTCAGGCCCCACAACCAGACCCCTCCCCCAGACCCCTGCCCCCAAAAAGTTAAAAGTGAGTGAAAAAAGCTAAAGGACAGTGCCTAGGTCCTGAGTAAAGGTCCCAATGCTGTGCCAAAACAACAACAACAACAACAAACTCAATTTTTTTCCCTTTAGACCACTCTCATCCAGTGGCTTGTTTCCACTCTGACCTCATTCTGACAGGCCTGGAGCCTACTCTCCCATGACTACCCTCACTAAAGTCTCTTGGATTGCTTGTCTTCCCTTGGTCATTTTTCCTCCTGAACCTTCAATAGCTATACCATATGAGTAGGAAGAGATCTGTGTGTAACACCATCAAAATTAGTTCCTTATTTGTGATAAATTTCATGTGTAAACAAGGGAGTATTGCAGGTAGCTATACTTTCTTTTAATCTGTTTATATATTAGGCTTCTGTTATTCTGGGAAATATTTTCAAATAATTTTACCATTTCTATTTTCTTCTTCAGTGATGACAAGAATGTGTCTATATATTCAACTTGCAAGTTATTTTCTTGGGGATATAGTGAGCAAATCACTGAATGAAATCTTAGCCTAGGTTCTGAGTGACATGTTGGATACATTTGAAAAGTCAAAAAATGCTGCAAATCTGAATATTTGCCTTTTAAAATCCGTTAATGAGTTTAAAATGGCCATCGAGCACCTTAAATGAAAGTCATATTTTTTTCTTTTTTGTAGGTTGTACAAGACTGGAAATTTGTGGCTCAAGTTCTCGATCGAATCTTCCTGTGGCTCTTTCTGATAGTGTCAGTTACAGGGTCGGTCCTGATTTTTACCCCTGCTTTGAAGATGTGGTTAAATAGTTACCATTAGAAACATGTCTCCAGGGCCATTTAAAAGCCATGTCATCAGGATAAAAGTCCCACAGTAGAACTGACATCTTCCAGCATGTACCCAGTTTAAATGCATGTGTGCTTATTTCTCAGAATCCTGCTAATGTGGTCTTTACAGTAACTGAATTTCTCATTTTTGGTTTTGTTGGTCATGGGGCTTGAACTTGGGTCCTGGGTGCTGTCTCTGAGCTCTTTTGCTCAAGATTAGCACTCTACCATTTTGAGCCACAGAGCCACTTCTGGGTTTTTTTGAGTAGGAATTGGAGGTAAGAGTTGCATGGACACTTTTCTGCCCTGGCTGACTTCAAACCGCAATCCTCAGACCTCAGCCTCCTGAGAAGATAGAATTACAGGCGTGAGCCAGCAGTGCCCAGCTGAATATCTCTTCAGTAGGAGAAACCTGGGAAAAATAACTAGTCTCTGTTGCTAGAGTTGGGTTTAAAGATGTCAAGAAGGCCTTCATGTCATGCTCTCTCTGTGGGAGGGCCTGGAGCTCTTGCAGCTACTCAGCTCCTTGGTGGTTTGAATTGCAGTCTGAGGCTGTGTGAAACTTCTCTAAGCAATATGGATGAACAAACTTTAATTTCAGTTTGGGGAAATATACAAGTACAGCTACCCTTGGTCCATCACACTTGTTATTACAAAGATTCCAAGATACCACTGGTCAGCTAATGTTCCAATATAGTGTTCATTGAAATAACCTCACTTAAATATAGGCAGTAGAACTCATAGTTTATTCATAGCATTCCAAAGCCTTTTAGTCCAGTAAAACCCATTGTGAACTGTGACTTGCTCTAAAGTTATGGCAAATAAACTATCATAGAAATAATCATTTGCTACCCAAAGTGTATTTATTAATATCCACTTAGCTTCCAGAAAATTCAATTACTGGGTATTTGATGATTAGATTTCCCGCTCATCTAATGGCATCCATTCCTGCAGAGTGCTGTCGGTTTCCCATTCTGTTATCATCTGTCTCCTTTTCTGTCAGGAGTACTCCTTCCCCACTTTCCTGCTCCTTGTTCCCATACCAGTAATGGATTTGACTGTCTAGTCAAATTGAGTTTGCTGCTGCCCCCACCAAATCCTCCCATGATTTTAGTTTCCCTTGCCCAGTGATAAATTCAAATCCTTTTCTCAAGTATTTTGTTTTGGACATGGCTATTGTAAAAAAGTTTATACCCTGAATTTTTAAAACCTAATCATCCTGTAATGCTTACTATTTAGGAGGCTAAGATCTATGGATTGTGGTTTAAAGCTCTCCCAGGTGGGAAAGTTCTAGTTCCAATTAATCACAAAAGATAAGAAGTGGAGCTGTGGCTCAAGTGGCAGAGAGCCAGCCTTGAGTGAAAAAGCCAAGGGACGGTCCCAGGTCCTGAATTCAAGCCCAGTACCAATGCAAAAATCAATCAATGCATCAATCCAAGGGCTGAATTCATCCAAATACATCATTGCTACTGATTGAAAGACCCTAGTCCCCTAGGATACTTTCATCAACGGGAGGGCGCCCCAGAAACTCAGCCTCCAGGCCGGGAGATGCAATAAGCAAGAGGAGTTTATTTGACGTTTGCCCCAAACGGACTCTCTGTCCCGAGCAGACAGGGAGCCCCGAGCAGACAGGGAGCCCCGAGCAGACAGGGAGCCCCGAGCAGAGGAGACAGACATTTTTAAAGGAAAAACCCACAAAATTAGCATAAAACGCTCTTTGTGATATAATTGGCTCATGGTTGGTCTAAGGGGGGGTTACATGGTTACAGGCCTATGATTGGTTGACCGATTTGGCCCAGTTTGTGGTCTGGCCAGGTGGTCGTTGTCAAGGTCCGTCCCAGGGATTGCTGAACTAAACTGGAACTGAAAAACATGTACTATCTATAACCGCTGTCCTTGTCCTGGGTGGGCTGATATCCAGACATCTGGGCCGGCCAATATCCTTGAGTCACTGCCCAGTTTTATTTTCCAGGGAAAACTCAAAGTTTGTTAGGAAAACTAAAAATCAGTGGTGATCACCACTCTCTCCCTCTCCCTCATTCACCCCCCTTTTATTTTAGTAATGCTTGGGATTAAACTCAGAGCCTCATGCTTGGTAGGCAGGCACTCAACCACTCAAACCAAGCTTCTAGTCCCTCACTTCCCCTTTTCACCTTCCATGATGTGTCAAAACCACCTAGAATTTGAGCTGTAGGTTATTAATTTTTATATTATTTGTCTCTCATCCTTAAGAATCACTTACTAACAGTACCTTTTGCCTACTGTTCATTGAAAATAATTTCATTTGGTGTATGTGCATGCCAGTCCTGGGGCTTAAACTCAGGGCCTGGGCACTGTCCCTGAGTTTTTTTACTCAAGGCTAGCACTCTACCACTTGAGCTACAGCTCCACTTCCAGCTTTTGGAACTTAATTGGAGATCAGAGACTCAAAGACTTTCCTGCCCACGCTGGCTTTGAAGCACAGTCCTCATACCTCAGCCGCCTGAGTAGCTAGGTTTACAGGTGTGAGCCAGCACCTGGTTTACCACTGATTTTTATCCTGTTTCCTTCTTTCTCTGAGTTTTTTCTCATTATTTAGAGGAATTTCTTTTAGACAAGGTCCTATTACATTGTCCAAGCTGGTCTCAAAACCCTGGCTGAAATAATATTCTGTCCCATTTTCCCAAGTGGCTGGGAAGACAGATTCATGTTACTTTTTCCAGCTCCTAGTAACTCTTTAAAAAAATTTTTTTTGGGGGGTCCAGTCATGGGGCCTGAACTCTGGGCCTGGGCGCTGTCCCTCAGCTCTTCAGCTCAAGGCTAGCGCTCTACCACTTGAGTCACAGTGCCACTTCTGGCTTTTTTCTTTTTGTTTATGTGGTGCTGAGGAATTGAACCCAGGGCCTCATGCATGCAAGGCAAGCACTCTACCACTGAGCCACCTTCCAAGCCCTTAAAAAATTTTTTGAGGGGGTATGATTGGGTGGGGGGGAGGGGGGAGGCTGGGAAGGGAGGTGAAGGGTAAACAAAGGAGGAGGCTGCAATGCTTGGGAAGAAATGTAAGCATTATCCTGCCCATGTAATTGTAACCCCTCTGTACAGTATGTTCTCAAATAAAATAAAATTAAATTAAAAAAATTTTTTTTTGAGTGTAGTGAACTTTCTGAACACTTTCGTTACTGAAATTACAATTTCTTTTGTCCTTACACTTGAATAATAGGTTGGCTGAGTATGGGATTATGGTTCAAAATAATTTTCCATCAGAACTTTGAAGGGATTTGAGAAATGCAGTGAAGGTTAGTATTTCTAATTACTATATAGTCATGTTTGTTCCTAAAGTGCTCACACTTTCCTCTTTATCTTGGACTTTTTATCTTGGACTTTAGAAATGGCCCCTATATATGTCAAGCCCAGGGTTTCTGCCCCCCTCCCTCTTCCCCACACACATACACTCTGTCTTACTCCCCTTCCCTCTCTCTGGCTTAGCACTAGGCTGATGCCTTCATTTTGAAATTTCTACTATAGAGACCTGGGTATTAACGAGTCTGTCCTCCATGCTTACTAAACTGTAGACTTTTTTTTCTCATACTTTTAATTCTTTAACCATTTATATGATCTGGTAATAAATATGGCTCTGGTCATGATTTTCTGCTTTTTGCCCCACTTCCTGAGGTGAGGTGTTCTGAATGTCTGTGGGTCATTCATATATTCGATTTCTGAGAACACTGATTTTCCTTCATGGATGTCAAACTCTCTGAAATATTTGGGAGAAATAATCACAGCTACTTTACAGTCTCTTATTATCTTTTTTTTGGGGGGGGTCCGATCGTGGGGCCTGAACTCTGGACCTGGGCACTGTTCCTCAGCTCTTCAGCTCAAGGCTAGTGCTCTACCACTTGAGCCACAGCGCCACTTCCAGCTTTTTTCCTTTTGCTTATGTGGTACTGAGGAATCGAACCCAGGGCCTCATGCATGCAAGGCAAGCGCTCTACCACTGAGCCACCTTCCCAGCCCATAGTTTCTTATTATCTTGTATAACAGTTTTTCTCTCTGCAGTAAATTCTTCTGATGCTTTTTTGTGAATATTTTACTTAAATAGTTGGTGATTTTTCTTATTGCCTTGTTGACCTAAAAGTGCAAATTGTTTCTAATCACAAGAAAGCAGACTTCAACCATTGTATTGGTTCAGTTCTTCTTCCCTGCCTAGGTCTAGCCAGGCTTTCTCATCTTCTGTTGCTGGAGTTACCCTTTACTTGATAGTAGCCATTGTTATGTTGGGCACTGTCTAGAGTCTCTAAACCTAGAACCCATTCTGCCTTACCAACGAAGGAGGACCACATTAGTAGGACAAACAAAGCCACAATAAAGACATAGCAGTGCTGCAGCTGTCCCTCATCTTAATCTTACACATTAATTCCACTTCCTCTTCAAAAATACTCCCTGCCTATAATCTAGGATTACTAGTTTGCTAGAAAACATTATTTCTTTGTCATCCCCCTCTTTCCTTTATGGGAACACAAATTCTACTGTTCTGACAGGTCTTACCACAAATCTCATCTCATCTGCCCCACATTCTGCAGCACCCCCACCAATCTGGCTTCATCCGCCCCACATTCTGCAGCACTCCCACCAATCTGGCCTGTGACATCATCTCAGACAACTTGCCATTGTGTTTTGCATTTATAGAGGCTTTCATTCTTACTTTACATTTCTTTGGAAATAGGGCTATTTTTGTAAAATTTTCCCCAATTTTAATATGAAAAAGTTCAAATACTCAGTATAAAGTATAAAATGAATACAACTATCACCTGTACCTTCAGCTCCTCTTAACATTTTGTGATACTTGCTTTGAGTTATCTTTGTAAGCTAGTCTTTCTGAACTAGTGGAAACCTTCAAACACCATGACATTTAAGTATACATCTCTCAAAAGTAAGCATATATCTTATTCAAAAGTTAAGAACATTTTCCCATCCAGTCACAATTTCATTATTACACTTCAAACTAGAAATCATTCTTTAGGGCTGGGAATGTGGCTCAGGTGCCTCACATATATGAGGTCCTGGGTTCGATTCCTCAGCACCATATACCAGAAAAGGCCGGAAGTGGGCACTGGGGCTCAAGTGGTAGAGCACTTGCCTTGA